AAAAAAAAAAGATTATCTGTGCCACTGCTCTTGAGTTCTGAAGGGGACACTACTGAAGACCACAGACTAAACTTAACCTAGAATTTACCAGAGTGTCTTAAACCTACTATTATACCAAAAGTCAATCTGAGCCTGACATGACCCTCTGAATCAGTTTAAGACTGTTCACTCCTGGGGCGCCTGGGTGGCTCAGTGGGTTAAGTGTCTGACTTTGGCTCAGGTCATGATCTCACAGTTTGTGGGTTCGAGCCCCGCATTGGGCTCTGTGCTGACAGCTCAGAGCCTGGAGCCTGCTTCGGATTCTGTGTCTCCCTCTCTCTCTGCCTCTTCCCTACTTGCTCTCTCTCTCTCTCTCAAAAATAAATAAAAGGTAAAAAAAATTTTTTAAAGATTGTTCACTCCTATACCCATGCAAACCCATAACTTCTAGGTTATTGAATCAAATACAATTTTGGAAGAGCAGACATTTGCTTAAAATTGCTAATCAGGAAAAGGTACAAAAAATTTTAAAAATCACATAAAACCTCAAAATATTTCCTTTTTCCCCTCCTAGGGGAAAAGAGCTAGATTTCATAGAATAATTCTGTAAAGTAAAGGGTCACACAAAAGTAGGGTTGTTTTAAGAAAATGGAAATTCAGTTCTTTAAGACTAGGCACCACAGAAGTCTTCTGGGAGAAAAATCTGCTCAAACAACTTGATACTGTTTTCATTCATAAATTAAGGTAGGTATTTACTCAAACCATTAAAGAGTTAATCCTACAGTACTTTTTGGTGACTGTAATCTATCAAACACAACTTTTTACCGCTACGCCTAACTTTATGATGGTTCTATATCAATATTTAGCTCATGGTCCATATGCCAAAAATATTTTTTGGCTCAAAAATTAAACATCAATAAATTCATTTAAATTCCGAGTTCATTTAGAAGAGAAATTTCACTGAGGTCAACTTTCTTTTTGATAGAATTACTTAAAACTAATACACATTATTCTAGATAGAATTACTTAAAACTAATACATACTATTTTAGTTGAGTACTGTTAAGTTACCTACAATTGATATAAATCCGACTTGAACTACCATGATTTCAATAGAATTATTTGAATAATAATTTTGAAATATCATAATAGCTCAGGATAAAAATAGTCACAACAACTAGGAAATAATTATAATATTCTGTTCCACTGTCAGCAACCAACATGCCAACATACTTACTTCAGTTTATAACTGAAGTGGCATTCCACTTGGCACTTCTCAATTTGCTACAGGAAATTATATTGAGAATTAAATTAAATTATTCTATCTCTGATAAAACTGAATAGAAGTGCTATACCAAGTTTGGAGTCAAGAAAAGCAAGAACTGGGCTTTAAAAAAAATTAAAAACTCATGTCTTAACCACAATATAATGTACTGCCATGGTAAATAAGAGAACACTGGTATGCTGGCTATATTCTTTGCAAAATTCTCCTGGCTTAAAAAAAGTAAATATAAAGGAAAAGAATCTATTTCCTCTTTCTCCCTTGAAATTCTCTATGTTGCTCCTCTGCACTTTACACATTGTTGATTGGACATTTTAACAAGTGTGATCAACAACTTCACTCTAACATTATCACAGCGTCAAGACTAATTACTCTAACTGAAATCTAACAATCCACAAAATTACTGGACATGTTCTACTAAAAAGCCATGATAATTAAGTAAGCTAACTGCCTGCATTGTCCAAGCACAGTGGCTAAAGACCAGACCCTCCTTCCTTCATGAATATAATCAAGAGTTGCTGGAAGATGGGTGTGGCCAAAAACTATAGCCCATGTTGGTATACAAACAAGAGACTGGAGAATCATGCAGTGCCTGTTCATTTTGTAGCTGTGAATCAAGATGACACTGTGTTAAGGCAGTTGCCTGTATGTGAGCATCCCAGAGACTAACACAAACGTATTTAACATTCTGATATTTTATTAAATGTTATTTACTTATTTATTTTGAAAGAGAGAGACAGACAGACAGACAAAGACAGACAGACAGCATGAGCCGGGGAGGGGCAGAGAGAGACAAAAAACACAGAATCCATAGCAGGCTCCAGGCTCTGAGCTGTCAGCACAGAGTCCATCGCGGAGCTTGAACTCACAAGCTACG